ATTATGCACTAGAGCATAAAACAAGGAATCAAGTGACACCCATTCTTCCGCATTATGAAACTCCATGGATTATGTGATTTTGGATTCCCACAAAACCTTGGTTCCCAGACAGCATGAATGAAAAGTTGTTTGAAATTTACACACTGAAAAGTTAAATTTCTTGTGCTAAAAGTCTCTTATTTTATGATCTTTGAGAAGGTACATAGCTAAAGTATTGGAAGATGATAGACAATTCAAGGAACTTCCATTAGCAATATTATCTATAGTACTTTGAAGTCCAAGAATCTTGCAAAATTCCAAATCGCAGGAAAAATAGAAAACTGATAAAAATTGACCAACACGGAAATCAAATTTCATCTTATGAATTTGTAGCTACTTTTTCCTACTCTTAGTGCATTGACTTCACAACAAGCTTTATGATTAATTACGGAGACATCAGATAATTCTTTATTATGACTGACAAAATTGAATGGATTTTAGCAGCATTCTTTACTACACAAGGTCCTGCTAGAGCTAACCTCATAACCAAGCAACTTTATCACCTGCCGTACGCCAGCTACTTGATTTTCAACTCCTCCACGAGGAAGCCCATCTCCACCAGAGATGAAAAACTCCTACAAGATAAATAAGCTCAGTTGGAGAATAGGCAGCCAAAATTGCTTATTTTTCTCAATTAAATGTTCCACCTATCTATCCTTGAAACAGTGAAAATGTTGTAATACAAGTGAACGCATATATGTCCATTTTTTTATTAGCCAAAGACAACTTCTCCTCCATTTGAATCAAAATTTTCCTTTATCACCTTTAAGACCTCTACATCTTCCTCCAATAACTTAGCATCAGCAAGAGTAAAAATGCGTGATGGGCCTCCATCCAAAATGACGCGGAGTAAGCCATCCTGATGCAAGGAAACTTAAAATAAATTAGAAAATTTCAGCATTTAAAGATGAAAGTGAAAGGATTTAGCACATACCAGTGAGGCTTGGAGGAGACCTGTTACAACACGATCTCGGAGTTGCTCCACAATTTTATCACAAAGTTGATTGAGTACCTGCAGATGGAAAGTAGATGTATTCACATATGTTTGACATAATTATATTATCTATTAATGACAAACAAGTACTACTACGTACACATTTTCTTGCAAATATGACAAACTTCATTCTACTGTGCAGAGAAGGTCAAAAATTACTGAAGTTTGAAGGCTGAGCAGAAATTGTCACGACAGACAGCAATTATCAACAAAAAGATGTTTAGATTCATGCTTCACCATACAACTGGAAGTAGGACAAGATAATAAAACAAGGCTTTGAATAGTTTTGAATATCATTGCATGTGGGGAAATTAAAAGACATATCAGGCCAAGTTGAGAACAGATCCATATATCTCAAGAAATTTCTACATAAAACAGGGTATGCCTAGAAAAATCACTCCATTGCAGTCCAAATACCACAAGTAGACAGACTACGTACACTAGAATGACTTAGTCTGGCAACTAAACACGAGTTCAGCAATCAAGACGGGAATTAGCCTGATTTTCAAAAGTTCCTTTAGACTAGCTATATTTTGCAGTTCATACACTATTGGTTTAGGCACGACAAAAGATAAGTTGGATTCACAATGAAATGGCCATTCTTTTAATAGTCTAAGCTATATGGGAAAAGGGTTCTATTGAAGGACTCACAGAGATATGAAAGGTAATTTGCAAAATCCATTGCTATATCAAAGGAGAAAGAGAGAGATGGTCAAATTCTTCAAATAACTCATATGGCCAAACATTCATTGGTCCTTTTCCATTTTCATTTCATCTGCTGATCCTACATATCAATAGGAAATAACACAAGAGAGACAAGGGCATACCAAATCCAGTTGATCAATCAATGTTTCAAACCTACACTGAGAAACAGTTGGCTTATAAAGATTGTCAATAAAAGACTCTCTGAGGTCCCAAAAAATTATTTTAGTTCCTGCAAAAATAGGAAACAACAAATAAGACTACAGTCTACAAAGTGTGGGTCATAACCAAAAGCACCAACATGCTCACCAGTGAACTCACAAACTCGGTTAATAGCAGCATTTATATCTTTTCTACTGCCATCAAAAGTCTCTTTCTGTGTGGAACTTCTTAAATTTTCTTCTGTAGGTCTCCCTACCATGCCAAACCAAACATAAGCATAAATTGCAAAAGAAAAACAGAAGCAGCAGTATGCATTTGTAGCAATTGCAGAATACACAAGGTCTGTAAGCCAGAAAGGTTGTTTAATAAACCTAACAATTCTGTCATCTGATAAAACCACTGATTAAAAGTACGAAGAGAAGTCTAATAAGAAATACTCACTTATTGACTTATCATGGTAGTTTTTCCTTGTCCATCTCTCCCAAATGCTATCTTCCAACTTATTCAGTTGGCTAATTGCATACTATGGACAGTGAAAAAATCAGATACTGTAACTGATTAGGATTATTGGAGAGTAAGGGAAAACAAAATCAGAATTATAAGGACAAGCAGAAGAGCAGCACAGGCAGTAGCAGAAAACAAACTTGGAATAAATGTCCAATTAGGTAGCAGTTTCCTCATGCTAGATTGGATCTTCATGAAAAATCATCTACAAAAGGAATTTACCAGGTGCTTTCTGAAGTCTTAACAGTGGCAAGCCTAAGCATCTTATCAGGACATAAATGTACACAACTCGCAGCTCTGAACATATGGCTTTACTTCAACTTAGGTTGACATCTTGGCAAGTTTACCAATCTCAATTTTTTCCTTTTTTTTTTGTTGTTTGGTTCCAAACAAAAAAAGTTGAACTTAATTAGCAGAAATTGTTTTTTATTTCACAAGCTTTACCGACATACACTAAACTCTACTAATTGGGGACTAAATAACAGTGCCATTAAGAGTTTCAATAACGTGCTGCACCCATATCAATTTCCCCCATTCAATGACAAAGATATATTGATGAAGTTACTGAAATTGATGCTACCTGTCATCTTATAAACCAAGAATGTATTGATCGAGTCACATTACCAAATTCATAACAATTTGTAGACTATATATGAGGAGAGATGGGGTTAATTTTAGAAGTTTGTTGCTCATGAGCAATCAGGTAAAACTGTTGAGAGCAATTGCTTAGCAAGGAATCCCCAGTATGGATACATGGCATGTGGCTGTCTTGGAATAAGGGATCTGAGTTTTCTTGTCTTTTACTTGGTTCCATGGCTTACCAAAACTTGAAAATAATTGGACAAAATTTTCTGCAAATAATTGGACAAAAACTGATATGTAGTTAGACTAATATGCCACATATCATTAAATGGAACAATCTGAAGTTCTAGTCAGAATTGAATCGAGGACCTTTTACTCCCTGAACCTCAAAATTGGCAGCTTTAAATCACTGGATTAAGACCTTTTGGGCTGGGAACTCCGGTATAAAATATCTTGACATACTCAAATGATGTCACAAACTATTTGACCCTTGTACTCTAAGGACCTCAACCTTGGCTGCCCTTCACAACAATATCAAGACCTCCTTGGGATGAGACTTATAACCTCTTGACAATGTCGCTAGTTGTCACTTATTTCCATTGTTATTGTAAATTTGAATCGTTTTCGAGGAGTATAAAAATTTTACTTCGGGAGATCTCTAGGCTTTTCTGCAAAGCAAACTCCTTTTTAATTTTTAATTTTTATTTTTTGAAAGATCTAGATTCAAAATTTATCTTTTAATGTAAATTTCCACAAAGCAAAAAGACCAATTCATGGTTTGGATTAGACTCAATATATGAAGCAAGAGCAAGAACATGCAGAACCAAGGATTGATTGCTTGGAGGAATTTTACTAGGAAACAATAAATTACTGTACAATGTAGGGAAAGATATACATTACAATGTAATAGCAGTTGATAATCATGGTGAAGGATACAAATAGACTATTACAAAATTTTTAGGACAGGGTGTAGATTATAAGCCAAATGTGTCTTGTAGGCCATTAAAAACTGCGGCAGGTTTTATCCCAGAAGATAACAAAGAACATGACAAAGTGGAAAACAAGGCTAGAAGAAGAGGTGTTCCTGGAACTCACGTAAAGTGTATTCAACTGAACACAAACCGTTGGTGTTGTCAAAGCACTATAATCAGTCGACCTTTTCACATCAGGTTGCCTTGGATCCCTCAGTTCCTTTTTTACTAGTGCCTTAATTCCACCTTCTTTAGAGTAACGTGTAAGAATCGGCACAGGAGGAATGACATCTTCTTTCTTGGCTGCAAGGGCAAGATAGTAACAATAACCATGATGGCAAAGATATAAACACAGACAAGAATAACAAAATTGGTCTAACTTGTATGTAATATAAACAAAATCAGAGTAAAATCAGAGCAAAAATGATAAATATTCACATGTAATATCATTTCTTCAGTCAATTGAACAGAAATAAGGGTATTGGAAGTCATAGCCCGGAAATTTACGTAATCATCCCCAAAATTCAGCTGAGACAACTACAGAGTTTTTTAATCCTCTTCTGTCACATGCAAATCCTAATTCTCAGCCGTAAAAATTGACATAAAGGCATCCTTTGCTGAAATCGACATAACTTAAAACAAGATATTTAGTGCTCTTACATCATTGCTTATCTAATATGGAAACAAAAACTCTTAATCTTATTGACCATAATGTATTGCATAATGTTATATCACAAATTCAACAAAGAAAACTCTGAATTATAGTTACCGTAATCAACTTTCAACTACAGTCTAGGTTGCAAAAATCAAGCATTTTTTCATATAGATCCAATTGCACTATTCAAAAAGATTCAACTTCCACTGCAATTGCCAACAAAAGAGCGCAGACAATTAATTTAGCTGAAATCGTTGTGAACATTGTGAGCTATATTGTCCTTTACAGCCTTCTCTCACACTTGACTTTAACTGGCACAGCACATTGAAAATTGAAAGCGGCTCATTAAACATGTTGACAACATAGGCTTTGAGGATATGGATTGATTAAGCTCCTAGAACTCCTCTAGGCCTGAAAGAAAGATCGAGACTGCTGAACTATAATAGGTGATGAATATCTCAAGCCTACCTCAAATACCATAACTAGGTGGACGAGTGGTTACCTTACCATGATTTGCTGATCGACCCTATATATCGATCAGTCATTTTCAACCTAACCCGCACCTAATGTCTTCGGAGACCAAAAGGGCGATCATAGGTACCCCTAAAAAAAAACTATTCTCAATAAAAATTGCTATCACTTTATATTGGTAAAGATATTTAATCAAAATCATAATCACGCATGCTTCACACATTGCATCTAATAATCAAACGATCTATAATTTATCATATTATATTATTAATATCTAATAGACAAAATGAGTTTCATATATTTGATAACCACCATTCTCAACATTCATCATTCTACAACAAAAAACGCAACGATAATAATATTTGCGCACTTTCCCAACTCTTAGATGTTATGCTTAAAGACTGTATCCCAATGAGTCAATTGTGGAATCAAGTTCGAAAAGAATTACACTATAATTTTTGGAGAAAGTAACAAATAATCTTGAAATTTTTCCCCAACTTCTAATCTTGAATACCTTTTATGCATTAAAGTTATGAAAAAATAAATTTTGCAACTAAATAAGAAACAATATTTAAGGACATAATTCAATACAATAAATAAAAAATGATAAGACACAATGTTTTAATATCTTAGTTATAGATAAATTGGAGCTACCAAAACACAAATCTTTGAATTGAATGCATGAAAAGTTGCAAGAAAGACAATGAGGTAGAATAAACAAATGAAAAAGACAAAGATAACAATTTTTATGATAGAGTTTCAACAAATTTTTTCTTTTTTTATCAATGATTGGTTCACCCAATAATATTTTTTTTTAGACAAATGAGGAGAGGCGGTGCTCTTTCCTCCTCTCCTTTGCTGAGAGAGATTCCGCATCTCCTCATTTTGTCTAAAAAAAAGCAAATATTCTTGGTGAAACCTAAACCAAATGAATAAAACAAAAAAAAATTTGTGAAACTCTATCATAAAAATTGTTCATCCCTTTCATTCTTTTTCATTTTTATTATACTTCCATCGATCTTTCCTACAAATTTTTCATCAATTCAATCAAAAATTTGTGTTTGGAGCTCCAATTTTCTGTTAGCTAGATAATTAAAACATTTGTGTCTTTCATTTATTTATTTATTTTATTGCAATTGTGTCTCTTAAATTTGTCTCCTTTTATTTTAGTGCAAGAAATTTATTTTTCTTTTTCATCACCTTTAATGCAACAAGGTCTATTCCAATGATGTAAGAAAGTTGGGGAAAATTTTTCAAGATTATTTTGATTATACTTTCTTCAAAAACTATTAGCTCTGTTCAATTCTTTTCCGAACTTAATTCCACAATCGACTCATTTTGGATGCAATCTTGTACCATAACATCCTTAAGGAAGTTGGAAAAGTTGTCATATACTTATTATCCTTGTGTTTGTTATGTTGTAGAAAGATAAAATGCGTGAGAATGGTGATGTATTCAAAATTATCATAAAATTTCGTTTATCTATTAGATATTATAATTCTAATATGTACTAAATTTATGAAATTGGTTTGATTATTAGATGAAATGTATGAGAATAGTGATGTATGGATTTTGATTATAATATCTCTATTAATGTTAATTGGAAAGCATACTTTTTTTTATTGGAAAACATGTTGATATTAAGTGAAAAATATATTTTTATTAGAAAATAATTTTTTTTTAGGGGCGGGTATCCTATAACCCGCCCCTTTTTTTCGGGTACCCGAAAATATTAGGAGCGAGTTAGGGTCGCAAAATGGCTGATCCGATTTTTTAGGGTCGGGTTAGCCAAATCTTGTTAGGGGCGG